GAACATACACATCAAAAGCTTCAACAGAATACTAATTCCACAAAGCTAGCACTCACAATGACACTATACTAACCCTGAAAATAACACTGGCATTCATAGCTATACTAGAACGATCACTAGCCCTGACACTAAGACTGACACTAACATTAACACCAAAACTACAACTCAGGCCAAGACCAACTCTAAGGCTGCGACTGCGACGGAGACCAGGACTAGGACAAGGACTAGGACGAACACGATACTAAGACTAATGCTCGTAACTTTTTAAGAAAAACATCAAATAAAAGCATCATTGTAGAAAGATGGTCACAGCGATACTAATAGCAATAGTCGTAGTGACCATCATGGAAAACATAATAACCAAGATGAAAAGAAGGATCGCTACATCGCTATAGTTGGGATTAATGCGCAATGCCGGTCTCTACGCGCCTGTAGGCGCTCATGCGATTCTTACTCCAAGCTTGCATTGCGATGTATGGGGTGCTTGCAGAAATTGTGCTGATGTAAATCCCCTCAACCCTAAACCCTAAACCCTACACCGCCCGAATACAAAAACAAAAAAACATGCTGGGCTAGGACCCTCGGGTACTGGAGATACTGGGCTCCCCACTGAGTCAGCTCCTCCAACTCCTTCCATGGCCGTGCTTGAAAGGATCTTTGTAGAGCTCCACAAGGGTCCCAAAGTGGTTCGACCGGGGTTGAGCTTTCTGTTAATGGGGTTTCCATTTTTATGCATCCAGGACTGGCGCGAGATGTTGGCCTTCAGCATCCCTTTTGACCTTATCTAAGGGGCCTTTCAAATGAGAATCGGGGTTTGGGGGGAAGGACCATCAGGGAACAAGATTACTAATGATTCCGACTCCTATTCCCTAGACCCTAAACCCTAAACCCTAAACCCTGAATCTTGCATTCTTCAACCTCGGATGCATCGTCGACGCATCTTGGGATGCTGGGCCCCGAGACTCCATGCAAATTTCCCAGATGAAGCCCCAGGGCCCTTATTTAAGGGTTAGGGTTTAGGGTTTAGGGTTTAGGGTTTAATAAACCCCCATTCCTTGCAACGTAACATAACACTCCGAAACCCGAGCGAGACACATAATCTAGGGGCCTTCATAACTAGAATAGGGTCTTGGGGCCCATTATACTATAATTAGAATAAGGAGCCCCCTACAAATACTATAGGTAATTATTAGGGCCCCTATGGCCCCTATATTACGCTCAAGAGGCTGACGTACCGAAGCATTGGAGCATGGGTTTTTTTTAAGCTAGTAGCTAGAGGCTAGGCATGCTCTGTATCCATGCGCTCCATTGTAGTTCCTCGTTGGGTGTACCGTATATGGTTCTAAATATAAACCACGAGGAGAAACTACAATGCACGACCCTCAGAGAGACCAGAACTGCAAATCAGTAAGTAGCTCGGGCCGTTGGGTGGCAGCGTGGGGCTGCACAGGGCTGACGGTGTTGGGCATATGGGTTTACGGTGGTTTTGGGGCTTCCGGCTTCGGTCTCAGACGACCCGATACCCCGTGGTTAAGCAGTTCACCTTGTAACATGCTCATGATGCCTCTTCACAGGGGCACCGAGCTCCATGGGTGCCGGGCCTTCATTCTTTTCTGGCGGGTGTTCGCCAGAGATTGCACGCCTGCGCACACAGGCGATTCACCTTTTTCTTCGCACGAACCCTTGCACACTCCCTCCGCCAACTTTAGATTGAAGCCCTAAATGAAATGAACAAACGCATCCTTTTCTTGCACACAACATAGCATAAGGGACTAGGCAAAAACGAAACTTTCAAGTGCATGTCATATAAGGCTCTGAACAGCACATCTGCTACCTGATACCATGCACTTACTACCTGTCTAGAACTAGCACCTGGTACCCGGACTGCCTAGTACCCCGTACCTCGTATCTTGCACGTAGTACATACAAGGACGACGACAGCAACAAGTCAAATTCCTACTCCTACTCCATTCCGACTCCTACTTCTATTCCTGCTGCTGCTACGACTACTATGTGTGCTTGTCTCCGATTACTCTCCTTTGTCTTGCTTGGATAAAAAAAGTACATGTATATACATCAGCATCCTCAGACAAAGAATGGGCTGCAACAACTGCGTAAGTCCCTGCTTGTTTTCAGCATGCTTTTTTCCACACAAAGGCCAAGGCAGAGGCTTCGTATTTGGTGCCAGGGCCTGGGGCGTAGGGTTTCCGTTTCAAGGCTTTTCAGATGACCTACTAAGAGGTAATCACTAGTAATATCATCCCCTTACTATGGTCCCTCTATAGTTATGCCATCACCTATTCGAATCATTGAGGCAGCCACTACCAAAATCCTTATGAAGCCTTGCAAGTCCCTTTGCAGAATACCGTTCGCAGTCCCTAAACCCTCTACAGAATACGGTTCTACGTCGTTAAACCCTGAGACCTTTACAGAAGAAATCATGGGGACCCATATTAGACCCGACGACCTCGGTTCTGCTTGATGAAGTCCTGGAGCTCTTTCCTCTTCTTTTCCTGGGGGGGGGGGGGGGTTGAGGTTTTGAGTCTCCGGGGAATTCCTGTGGAGGGTGCCATAAGAGTTAGAGGGAGGGGCTTAAGGCTTTCGTGAGTCTGCGGGCTTGGGGTTTGGGAGTTGAGCTTCGGCTTTCTGGGGTTTGCAGTTTCAGGCTGCCAAAAAAGACAGGTTCTTGGTTTTGCTCTTCTTCTCCTGAGCAAACACTTTCCGGCTCAAGATGTTCACCCCGAACAGTTTCCCCAACAGGTGTGGTGACACAATATGGGCTTCTTACGTCAAGAGTGAAGAGATATTTGCAAGTTTTACCACGCAGCACGCGGCCGGCTCGCACGTCGTTTGCGCAGCTCTCGCTGTGACTTACTGACTTAAACTATAAGCCTTTCTTTAAGTAGCTCGGCTAACCGGTGAGGGTAATTTCATGCAGCCCACCTGGCAAACCGGATATTTGGATCAAGGGTCTGCCAACCTCAGCGCCTATGCCATACACTCCTAGGCCTGCAACCACTAGCCATCTGCAGGGCGTTACCTGAACAATGCGGCTGATAGAGTTTAGCTCAGGGATGTTCAGGGCAGTGAAGACTTCCAACTTCAATGAACCGGAAGAACCTCAGTGCCAAGCTCAGGGCCAAGACCCCGTAAACCCGAAACCCTAATCCCCTAAANNCCCTGAGCCCTAAAATCCGAAATCCTAAAGCCAAAGGAGAAAGCATAAAAGGCCTAAGCCCGGGACCCGCAGCCCTGAACAAATCACCCAACCTGCAGCTCCCATGGACCCAACCACTCAAACAGCACAAAGCATGGGCAGGGTTTGGGGTTTAGGGGTTTAGGGTTTAGGCCTTCGAGACTTTGTGAATTGTTTCTCGGAATGAAACCGAGCTTGTAAACTAAATCTTGTAGCTTTCAACCCACAGACCTCGCAAAAGAGACGCCTGAAACTTCGAGTTCTCGTCTTGCTTTACGGCGTTGAGTTTTGAAAAGTGATGGAATTACTTCAGGATGCGTCAAAGAACTGCTTTCCTCTCAAATTAAGCGATACAGAGTCCACGTAAGAAGCGCGCTAAACTCTAAGCCAAAGAACCTAAACTGACAAATCTCAAACCTCAAATCCCAAGCCGGCTCTGTCCTCCCCAAGCCCGGAAGCCAGAACATGCAGACACAAAACTCCCAAGCCCTATGCGGTTTGAGGTGTAGGGCTTCAGGCACACCAGCCTCCCTAGCCTCGAGTTCTCTTTGGGCGTTTGCTGTAGGGTTTAAGGTTTAGGGTTTAGGGTTTAGGGGCCTTGACAACTTAAAAAAACGGGCCCAAATCAAGATCGGCCATCTCTGACTCTCTCTGAAGGTCGTTGCCTGCAGATCCCACTTCTTCTTCCAGAGGATCATCTTCTGCTCTTTTTGCTTGATGAACGCCGTGTAGTTGCCTGCACTCAACTGGGACTTGGGGTATCGGGGTGGGGCTCTGGAAGATCTTACGGATGGTGTGCTTATTTGGAGTTTAGGGCTTTGACAGCCCTACCAGGCCGTCAGCGCGTCTAGCGGGTCCAAATCTCGAGTTTTAAGCGTTTCCAAATCGTACACACAAAAAAAATATATGCCTTCAACAAATCCAAGACCTGTGGCAGGCGCAGTAGAATCGATATCAACGTCCTTTTCGAAGGGTGCTGTAATCCCCATGAGGTTTGCGGGTGTTTGTGTACCCTTTGCCGCAGGTCCGCGCCTTCGTAGCTGTACGTCATGCCCTCGACTGTCTCAACCACTCCTCAGGTGGATATATCACAGCTAAGCTTCCAGTAAATGTCTCTGCAAACCCTGAATTCTAAACCCTCCCTGAACCCCCCCCCTAAACCCTAAACCCTAAACCCTAAACCCTAAACCCTAAACCTGAGCTTCAAGCAGCTTAAGGATGTCCGGCTGAAAAGGAGGGCCATGCAGGTCGAGAGCCAGACTTTTAGGTTCTCAGGTCTAGCTTCCAGCCTTGATGAGCGTAAGGGCTTTTATATACATTATAACTACTTTTGACCCCGATTTCAGGTACTTATAACCTACTATATGATATGACCAGTAAAAAAGGGCTTCGAGGCCAGGTTGGGCAATCCTTTGAGCTCGAAATGCTCGTGGTTTAACGTCTCTCGGGGTCTCTGTTCATACTACAGGGGCCTAAAAAATTACCTAGACTGTTTCGGGTGGGGTTCCTAATTGATACTTATAGTATAATATATACACCAAAAACCCCATTCTAATTGTTAAGGCCCCTATATTAGCTCTATATTTCACGGCAAGCAGCCCCACAGACCAGTCCCAAGCCGAGCAACAACAACTACCAATCATTACAGTGCCCATGCGATGGCAGGGTTAACCAGAAAGGTGATACCCCAACACTGGAACAACCGCGATGGCACAGTATCACCTTGCGCAACATCGAGAGTCAGGGTAGTAACGATGAGGGAGCGAGTATTTTTATTGTCTAT